TTTTAGAGAAAGGATAATAGTTGTTTTTTTAAAAATTTTTAAATGGCTGATCCTTTTCTCCAATGAATGATCAGGAAAGCAGAGGTGAGAGGTGACTTCACAGGCAGATATATATCCATGTGTGCACATCTGTGTGCGTAGTTTCTGATTACATCCCACTCAGGTAACAAGGAGCCTGGTCAAAGTAGGACTCTCAGGTGCAGAGCAGCCAGACAGTGGGGAGGGAAGTGGGATGCTGAGCTCTCAACACCTTACGGGGAGACAATGAGAATCAGGTGTGACCAAGGCCATCCTTAATGTCCTGTGCTCTTTGCAACTAGAGAGTTAGAGTAAAATGCATCGGCCTGAGAGTTGCTTCTGGGGGCAAGTCTGCAGGCCCTGATCTGCAGAAAGTGACAGCTCAGGGCTGGGTCAGTGTACAGGACCCCAGTGCAGTGTCCCTGGTGAAACACCCATTTCTTCCGCAAAGGTGATGTGGGCGCAGAATTGCGCTGTGTGAACTGGAGGCACGAGGATGCCCTTTTGCCGTGGCTGGGTTTCTCCAGGAGCCCAAGTCCTTAAGGCGAGGCATGTTTGCTTGATGCTGATGTCACTCGCCTCAGCCCTGCCGGTCATTTCTCTTGCTCCTCCTGCTGCTAGAAGAGTCCTCTCATTTCCCTTCCACCTTGGAGCTGGTCTGTGGGGTAACAGGGCCTTCCGGAGAAGGCAGAGCCTGAGCGTTGAGGTCAACACACAGCAGTGAGATGAAGACACCAGGAATAGGTAAGCACCCAAATTCTGGCCCCAGCGACCTGTTAGGAGGAGTGTGTGACAGGCCCAATCCAGAGTCTCTCTAGGGAGGTGAGGAACCTGGGGGAAACACACAGCAGTCCTTCTGAGGAGGTGCCCAGCGGGTGCTGATAAAACATCTATCTACTCCTCTGCCAGACTCTGAGGAGCCAACATCAGCACAAGACCCTGGACAAGGAGCTGGTGCTCTGAGATGGCTAGAGCAGCAGACATTGCAGAAGTGCAAAGGGCGCCCACCTCAAGTTTCTGGTGGGCATGGAGGCAGCTGGAGGGAAGGGCGCAGCATCGTTCAGCCATTGCTGGTGGGTCCCAAGTGAGGGTGGGAGGGGCCCCATGATAGCGAGTTGATTTGATGCAGCGGTTGTCCATGTCTAGTTCAGAGTTGCGACATAAGGGGACAGGGGCTTCTTGACGCTTCAGGGCTTGCCTCTGTCCATAGCCCTGGCTTTCCTGCTGCCTCCACCCTTGCAGGTTTGAATCTCCCCCGCTCCTCTCCTCTCTGTGTGAATATATTCAGAGTTGACTCCACAGGTGGGGGGAGTGGAGTATTTGGCAGTGGTTACTTTGCTGCAGGCCCTGCATTTTTTCATGAAACAGCACCAAGATCGATCGCTCCCTCTCTCCTCTCTTAATGCTGGAGGCTCAAAAGACAGGGATCTGGTCCCTCCGAACCACATCCAGGTCATCATCCAGGGTTAACAAGACCTGAAAGGAGAGGGACGGAGAAATGAAATGAATGCGCAGTCACAGCCACAGTGAGTCGTTACTTTCTCTCTGAGACACATGCAGATTGAAACATGTGCCTTTACTCGTTTTCATGTCTTCTGCGGCCTTCTACAATGCCGTGCCCTGAACAGGCACTTATTTTAATGACATAGCTCATTTATTAATTAATCAAGGTCTACCATGTGCTATTCTAGGTGCTGGAGATACAACTTGCAATGACAGAGGCAAAAAATCCCTACCCTCCTGGAGCTTACATTCAAGAGAGGGCTTCAGACATGAAGCAAATACATGAGTAAAACATATGTAGTATGTTAGACAGAAATATGTGCTAAGTATAGTATGTCAGATGGTAGTATATGCTAAGGATAAAAGTCAAACTATGACAAGAACATGGAAGTATGGGGTACGGGAGGTAAAAACATGTTGAGAGGTGACTGAGGAAGTCATTACTTTGAAGGGACCATTTAGGTCAAGGCCTAAAGGAAATGAAGTCTTATTGCATAAAGTGTTACTAAACATAAAGTGTATCCTCCTCCTCCATTTTTAGGCCCCTCCACCATCACTCTTTCCACATCGAACCCTTCACTTCATTTCTGTCTCTCTCTAATGAAAGTGACTCAAAAATAAAAGCCTTAAGCAAGAGTGAGTATACAGAGTAAACTTCTGAAACTGGCCACCAGGGGGTAGCCCTGCTCCACTATTGAGGCAATAAGGCCAGCAGAGACTGCTTAAAGTGGGCAGTACTGGGAGTCCTGGAGACCTACTCCTGCTATTTGTCATGAACCTGTGCAGGTACCTTGGGCTTTTAATTATGAAAGTCAAAATTAATGTGAAAGCATGCCGGAAGTTATCTTCTGAGGATGTTATAATATGCGTGGCTTCTGGGAAGATGTTTGGGTTAAGAAATGAAGGGACTACATGAAAGATTTGGAACTGATAGGTTAGAAGGCAACAGAGGCCTGGATGCTATCCTGAGCTACTCCAGGAATTTGTAAATGACTTATCTTTACTGAGACTGAAAGGAAGAATGTGAGGATAGCATAAGGAGGAATAGCCTAATGCTATCGAAATTTTAGTGGATGCCAAAAGCAGTGCCTGGGGGATTCTGGGCATGTGAGTTCTGATAACCAAATGTTGTGAAGCTTAAGGAAAATCATTTTGTCACTCTGTGTCTTAAACTATTGAAGAATAAAGAAAAATAACTATCTAACCAGAAGATACAATGTAAAAATGAAACAATCTGTACATTAAATTACAATGCAGAATTGGAAAGGGAAATTAGAAAGGAATAAAAAAGAAAGAGGGTTGCTGAAACTGGTTTGGCTCAGTGGATAGAGCATCAGCCTGCGGACTGAAAGGTCCCAGGTTTGATTCCGGTCAAGGGCATGTACTTGGGTTGTGGGCACATCCCCAGTAGGAGATGTGCAGGAGGCGGCTGATAGATGTTTCTCTCTCATCGATGTTTCTGACTCTCTAACTCTCTCCCTTCCTCTCTGTAAAAAATCAATAAAATATATTTTTTTTTAAAAAAGAAAGAGGGTGTAAGAAAGAGGGAAGGAGAAAAAAAAGACAGAGTACAAGATGTAAAGAGAGGACAAATTAACAAAAAGGTATCAACTCACCAAGAATGAGAAAAACAGGGCAGTGGCAGAGAGGAAGTGCCAGATGTCATGCTCATCAAAGAAATCCAGCAGGACACATTCCCGGTTCTTCTCCCGGGACTCAGCTGGGGTTCCCTGGAAGAAGGTGAGGCTGGATGTGGGCGAGCATTCCCACAGTTCAGCTGTTCAGAGGGCTGAGCTTCCAGAAAGCTACACAAATGCTACTAGAGGCCCGACTCAAAAAGTTAGCTTCCAAGAAAACATATGTTCACACACAAAAAAACTTGCACACAAATGTTCAGAACAGCATCATTCGTAAGAACCCCAAAGTGGAAACAACCCAAATGTCCATCAACTGATGAACGACTAGATAAACTGTAGCGTATCCATACAATGGAATATTATTCAGCAATAAAAAGACATGAAGTACGGATACGTGCTACACCCTGGGTGACTCTAGGAAACGTTATGCTACATGAAGAAAGTCAGGTTCAAAAGCCACAGAGGATATGATTTCACTTCTAAGAAGTGTTCAGATTGGGCCGATCTATAGAGACAAAAGATAGTTTGGTGGCTGCCTAGGGCTAAGGAATTCAGGAGAAATGGGGAGTTTCTTTATGGAGTGATAAAATGTTCTAAAATCGATTGTGGCGATTGTGGAGATGGAGAGTGGAGACTCGCACGTTCTGTGCTTCAGAAATATCACTGATTTCCTAGGCCTCCGCTTTCCAATCTATGAAATGGACTTATAAATCCCTGCACCTGGGTATTTGTCTATGGATGGTGCTTATGATGAGAAAGGGGGAGAAGATACACTCATCAAGGTTTTTACACATGTTAAACACTCATTGGGAATAGGATCGTAACACAACACATAAAGAAGGTCAAACTTGCAGAGTCTGTAGGACTTACACATCTATGAGTGCTACCCTGAGAGTGATGACAAGGTGCCATTCATTGAGCATTTGTGTGTGGATATTGAAGTTTTTAGAGAAAGCTTTTGTTTGAGAGGACATCAAAAAGATAAACAGCAACTAGCACATAGACAGAGGGAAGCAAGATGGTCAGAAGGCAGATGGAGAGGGACCACACCTTGGAAAAGAAAACTTCTCTTACCTCCCAGCTGCTGAGATTCTGGAAGAAAAAATACAGGGCGGTGGCCCACACCACCGCGGTGGCCACGATGCAGAAGAGCGGGATGGGGAGGACCTTCTCGGAGCTGCGGAGCTGCGGGCGAGAGGCAGAGGCTGCGGGGCTGCCTGCACCGCCAGCTGCGGGCCCAGGCGCTGCGGCTCCCAGCCGCCTCGCTTACCTTCATGATGATGTAGAAGGCCAGGTAGAGCAGCAGGTTACCGATGAAGATGCCCAACATGTAGGAGGCAAAGTCCCTGGGCCGGTAGATCAGTCCAAAGAGGGCGCTGAGCACACGGGGAGGAATTATTTTGCAGCCACGAAGGTGGATTTGTGACATTATTGACTTTTTTCACTTCCCCACTCCCATTTTTGCAAGGAGGGGAATTAAAAAAAACCTCTTTAACATATTATAAGTAACTTTTAACAGATTGCATTTCCTTCAGCACATTCGTTTTTAACGATCGATCGTAATTTTCCCATAAGTGGATGCACCATAAAGAATTGCCTTTCCTCTCTGGTTGCAACGAAGGGTTTTCCCTTCGCCCTTCAGTTTCTCACTATTATAAAGAACAACACAATGAATGAATGAACGAACACCTCCAGACATACTGTGCTTGCTTTTGCACTGAAGATTACTTCATTAGACTAGCTTACAGTACTAGAAGTAGAATTATCCCAATAATTGGCTTGAAACACATGACCAACTTGGGATAGCTGTCTATGGCTTTAAAATTAATACTAAAATTTATTACCCCATCTTACAGTCACCAGGTCTGCGGGGTCTGCCCTAAACGGGTGGCCCCAAACAGCCCCGCAGGTGACCACTGCCAACAATCGTCCATCTCGACTCATCCCCGTGTAAAGCAGGGGCCCTGCACAGGCATAAGCCTTATCCCGAGGGCATCCCTTGGTGACAGCACTGTGGGGAGTTTCTTCCAGAAGCATATGGTGCCCCAATAAGATTCAAATTGTCCTGAAGAGATTCTGGCTTCCCTGAAGGTATACCTCTTTCATTTCTTATATGTCTTAAAGGGCAACAGAAGTAGAGAGTTATCGTTCCATCAAAGGTCACTGACCCAGAGGTGCCCATCAGCTAAGAACTACTAGTAAAAGCAGCTAAACTTACTTATCTTTGAGGGATTAATAAATTATCTCACTCATTCTTATATTTTTTAAATCTTCACCTGAGGATACGTTTCCATTGATTTTTAGAGAGAGTGGGAGAGAGAGGAAAAGACAGAGAGAAACATCGATGTGAGAGAAACACATCGATTGGTTGCCTCCTGCATGTGCCTTGACCAGGGCCCGGGCCGGGGGGGAGCCTGCAACCGAGGTACATGCCCTTGACTGGAATTGAACCCAGGACTCTTTGGTCTGCAGGCTGAGGCTCTATCCACTGAGCAAAACTGGCTAGGGCTGAGAATATGTTTTTATTGATGAGAGAGAGAGAAATGAAAGAGAAAGAGAGAGAGAAACATCAACTGGTTGCCTCCTTCCTGCGAGCCCTGACAAGCCTTTCTGGTGTACAGGATGAGAGTCCAAACCACCTAAGCCACCCAGCCAGACTCATTCCCATCTTTTAGTTGAAAATAGGTTGCATAAAATAGATACAGCTAGCAAAAATATATGTCTATTGTACTGTTCTATTTTGAGGCTATTTGCAGGAAAAAGGGCCAATAACGAGAGAAAGAAGAGGAAGAATGATGTAGGTAGAGTAGGAAGAACGAGACCTAGGGGGAGAAACAATAACTAGGAAAGAGACTTTTACACACACTCACGCGCGTGTGCACACACACACACACACACACACACACACACTCTAAGACAAATGGCTGGGTAGCCTTTATGGAAAGTTCTTCAAAAATATTTAAAGCTACATTGCATTTTTGCAACTACAGACATAATATCTATCATCTATCAATCTATCTATCTATCTATCTATCTATCTATCTATCTATCAATCATCTATCTAATCTATCCACTAATTCGATGTTTGTCTTGTTGAGCAAATGAACTCAATGCTTTGAACTCAACGCTTTAAGAGGGGCTACTATTGGTACACAAGAGCTTCTTAGTGCATTCTTTGCAGGAGAAAAATGCCTTTCTCTCAAGTCTCTAGGACAAGCTCAATCCTATGGTCTCCTTAATTTCAGGTTTGTTTATAAAAATGACAACCAAGGAAAGCTAAACCGCAGTGTTAGAGACGTTAATAAAGAGGAAAAAGGTGTCTTCCTAAGATTACTTACAAGGACCAGTTAATCAGATTCCCCACGACGAGCAACACCATTCTGTCCTGAAAAAGGAGAGAAAACACTGAAAACCCCTCAGCCTCAGCCCCCTCAATTTTTAGTGCCCACAGGTCCTGACAAGCTGTAGTGGGCTAAGGGGTCCCCACATTCCTCTTTGTAAAAATCCTGATTGTAAACCATTAGCAGGTGCTAAGGGACCAGAGACCAGTGATGCTATTTGGCAGGGCACACGGGGTTCCCTGAGCACCTGCCAAGGTGGGGGCAGTGGTTCAGAGGGCGTGTGTAGCTTTCCCAAGGTCACTGCCAGTGAGCCGAGACATCGCTATGACCAGGGCCCTGATTCCTGTGCTCAGTGTAGAAATGTATAATATACCGAAAACTAGAATGGAGAATTTAAAAAAGTTGTGTTTCAACCACTAAGCAAGATCCACAATTTTGAAAAAATATCCTTGCTCATTGTACAAAAAACAATGCATAAAAATCAAACAAATGTATAATGGGGGCAGTGTAAGTTCCTAAGGAAAGTTACTGGAATGGCCATAGGTCCCAGTTTGCTTGAGACGGTCTGGCTTATGCCTGCTGTCCTGGTGCGGTTGTTAATAGCGCCCCTTTCACTTACTCAAGGGAAATCATCTTACCTCCTTGGAGGGTTATTTACAGGGACGCCCCACAGCAGTGATCACTGTTTAATAGTTCTGTACACACCCGCATATATATTTTTTCTTTCTATACTAGCAATCTTTCATGTACAAATGCGGGACCATCCCAGCTTGTTTCTTATGAACAAGAAGAATAAACAGCAGGCTTCTTGCCCCTGATGGACCTCAGCCACCTGGACCATCTGGCCTTCTGGATTGGGGAGGCTGAGTGGCTGTCCTGAGCCTGCCCTCCTGCTGTTCCCCCACTCTCTGGGAGAAAGCCAAGGGGTGCGGGAGCACACACATACCATGTACAGAGGCCGGCTGCACTGATGGATGAAGTCCGTGTAGAGCACCATAGCAGCCCTTCGGAAAATCCCCAGATCTGCCCGGGACACAATCGCGTGGTAAGAAGCCTTGGTCAGAGACAATACAAAACACTCCCACAGGACCCGAGCTTTTGGGGTCAGGATGATGTCGTCTTCACCTCATAAAAATGGTGCTTTGCAGCTAATAGGTGCACAACCCATGTTTGCTTTAAAAATGGCACCCTCACCTCCCCATCTGTGCTCTCATGGAGGGTGAGCCACACCCCTGGGTGATACTGCAGGAGGGCAAGAAAGATGGACACGCGTAACCGGCAATCACAAGGAATTTGGGTGGCCAGCCAACTCGTTTAGGGTCTCTTCCAGCTAAGTTTCCCTTCATTTACAGCAGTGGTTCTCAACCTTCTGGCCCTTTAAACACAGTTCCTCATGTTGTGACCCAACCATAAAATTATTTTCGTTGCTACTTCATAACTGTAATGTTACTACTGTTATGAATCGTAATGTAAATATCTGATATGCAGGATGGTCTTAGGCGACCCCTGTGAAAGGGTCTTTCGACTGCCAAAGGGGTCGCGACCCACAGGTTGAGAACCGCTGGTTTACAGTTTCCTCCAGTGGTGTTTCTTTTATAGCAGAGAGGTTGCGGGGCCCACCTTAAAAGCACCTGCTCTCTCCAGAGGATGGGGAAGCTTAGCTTGTAAAAGTTCTAATCTGTATTTCTCAAAGTGGATATGAGTCAGTAAGCATTGAACCAAGGGATACTGGGTTTTACTGGGCATGTTCAGGAAGCCCAAACCTGTCCTGGAACAATAATCAAAGGAATGTAGTGAAGATGGGAAGAAAAAGACAGGAAAGATTTTTTTAAAATGCAATCCTCCAGAAGGAAACTGTGAGGGTGCGTGCTATAGCTGCTACGGGAACAGAGACGGGATCCCAGACGGGCTGTCTTCCTCTGAGCTGTCCACACTGTAGACACCACATGCAAGCTGGGCAAGCATCCCGTGCGGGTGGATCCTGCTCTCTTGTGAATGCTACCCCTGGGGTCAATGTAGCCAGCCTTCACTATACTCTTAGCCACACAGAGGGAAGAAGGGGGCCCGGGGCATGCCCATGCGATAGCCCAGAAGCCTTGCGCAGGCTGGGTGGGAGTGATCCTGGCCTCTGAGCCTTTCTCTGGCTCCCCGCCCACCACCCTGTCCAACCTGGAGGGAGGTGTTCTGGGGGCTGGCAGGAAACCCGGAGGGTCACGTGTCAAGGAAACAATCTAGAACCCTGCGAAGGGCTGCTGGACATTACCTGTGTCAGACACCTCTGAGTCAGTGGAAAGCAGAGAAGACATGGGAAAGAGAAAGATCTGTAAGAAGGTAGCCAAACAGGTAAACTCCTGGTTATTTTCTTTTTCTCTCTGAATGGATGACTTGAAAGTTATTTTCTGATTAGAACAGTAATGTTGGCTCATCATAAAGCACAGAATTTTTCTGCCTGTCTCAGACATTCAGAAATGTACTGTTTCTCCAGGAGGGAATCCGATTTCTCTCTGTGTCTCCTTTTGTGTCCCGCTTCCAGTTTATAACCCACCCTGATCATGAGCACTCCCAGGGGTCCTTTTCTGGGGTCCTGGCAGCAGGTGAGCAACCTGGGCAAGCAGTTGTGCGGTTCTCTGTCCCACGTATGCAATGCTCTGCCTCACTCCTGTTGCCTTTCCTGTGTCCATGTTTATTTTCACGTGTGGCCCCAGGGCCACAGAGAAAGAAGCTTGTGACTTGAGAAAGCAAAGGTCGCTTATGAAATGGGCAGAGAGGTGCCTCTGTCCACTAACTCAACTTCCTGCCTTTGGACTAAATCCAGAAGCAATTGTCACAATGAAATAGAGAGTTTTCTTTTTGACTCTAGTAAGTCTATCACCACTTGGGGATGACTCCTGGGTGAGGAAATTGAAGATATTCCATTAAGCTGCACACTGGCTCTCTCTGTCTGCCCTTTCAGACCTGCTTTCCACGCCCGGCCCTGCCCTGCGCCGCCTGGAGGCTGACTGGACATCGGTGGGTTTCCTGGCCCTGCCTGGGTTTGGACAATGGGAGACCCCGGCAGGAGACGGGAGGAGCAGAGGAAGGAGAGCGACCTCAGGGTGTTTACCTTCCTGGCGCCCTCCCTGTGTCTGTCAACCAAAGGTCACTGCTCTTTTCAGAGTGGCTGCCTCCCCACCATGCTCCCTTTGCACGTCTCGGTAACCGTGTCCTGCCTGTCCGTTGGGGCTCATGGAGAGGCAAAGCTTCTCAGCTGCCAGCCCAGGGTGCCCTGCTACCCCTCCCATTCTTCTCTACCCGCCCTTGTCCTTTGCATGGTCCCTCTGTGAGCAAATCCTCCTCAATCTGTGTGTGACAGCTTTTTTCTGTTGAGACCCTGGCAGGTATATGTTACCTGGCCATAATGCATTAACTTTCTTCTTTTTATAAAGATAACTAATTCAGCATTGCAAAACTTATGGGGTATAAGTGGTATAAATGTGGTATGAATATATTCAAGACTCCTCTATGTGTTAATGGTCATCATTACACATGAGTAGGTCCTGCTTATTCGTGGCTTTGCTTTCCACAGTTTCAGGTACCTGCAGTCAACCGGGGTCTGAAAATAACATTTTTTAAAATTTGTATTTTTTTTTAAAGAGAGAGAGAGAGAGAGAGAGAGAGAGAGAGAGAGAGAGAGATCAGTTTGTGTTCCACTTATTCATGTATCCAGTGGTTGCTTCTCTACGTGCCCTGCCTGGGGATCGAACCTGAAAGCTTGGTGTATCAGGACGATGCTCTAACCAACAAAGCTACCTGGCTGGGCCGGGGTCTGAAAATATTAAATTGAAAATTCCAGAAGTAAACAGTCCATAAGTTTTAAATTGCGCACTGTTCCGAGCAGCGTGGTGAAGTCTGTGAGTCCCAGGAATTTGCCGGGACGTGACTCCACGTCTGCACGCTGTACACCCACCGCCTGCCAGTCACTCAGTGGCGTCTTGGTCATTGGATGGGCTGTCTGGGTGTTTTGGTGCTTGTGTTCAAGTCGCCCTTATTTTACTTCATAATGGCCCCAAAGCACAAGAATATTGACGCTGCAATTGGGACATGCCAAAGAGAAGCCGCAAAGCACCTTCTTGACGTGAAAAGGTGAGCACAATAAGATACTTTGAGAGACCACATTCACATAACCTTTGTTACAGTAATTGTTATAAGTGTTCTATTTTCTTATTAGTTATTATTGTTGATTTCTTGTCATGCCTAATTTAGGAATTAAACTTTATCATAGTTATGCATGCATAGGGAAAAAACATAGTATTTATAGGGTTTGGTATTATCCACAGTTTCAAGCATCCACTGGGGGACTTGGAACATATTCCCCGTGAATGAGGGGTGCGGGGGACTACTGTGTCTGCACTCAACTTTATTTTCCCAATTCTGAGAGAACCCAGAAGCTCCAGCTTATTTTCCGTTTGCAAGTTGACTTTGTATGACTTAACTCACCTTTGAGTCTGGGGGATGGGAAGTGACCAGTGCACCAAACCAAACGCTCTACACAACCAGCTAAAGATGCTTCCCTGGGGAGCTGGAGGCACAAGCATGTCAGTGCCAAGGGAAAACCTACCGGCCATGCCAAAAGGGAAGCCTAAACTGCCAAAATAAGACAATGTCTTATTAGGTCTACTCCTCATAAACAAGCCACTTGCTTACGTAGAATCACTTGGCAAGAGGGGTCTTGTATTTCAGAGGCCCTCATTCCTCACTGAGTGAGGAGTCTGCAGGGCAAGGGGACTCCTCCTTCCCCTCCAAGGCCACATTCTGAATTTCTGGACCCTAGGATTCCCTGCCCAGATGGCTTTGACCCTGATCTCAGAGTCTGCATAGCCCCGTTCCCGGGTCTATCTTCAGGGGGGGCGGGGGCGGGGATGGCACCATTGGAGCATGTACTTCCAGGGGTAAGGAGTGGCCATTTGGATGTAGAACAAGGGTGTCCACATGCACACCTGTGAGACCCCTTAAGATGTAGGACAGAGACAGAGGTGGGAAGAAAAAGGCAGGGGCTGGGGACCAGCTCTACAGGAGAGCTATGTTCTGAGGAACCGCAAATTCTAAATTAGAACCTGGAGCATCCAGGTTATAATGAAGGCATATTCTATTTATCAGTTTGTTGGCATCTTTCTTGTCTTCCTTTTCTTCCATGAATTTAATAGTTTTTTTAAGTCTGCTTTATACCTTTAAAATTTATATGTATGGCATATGAGCTTTTATTTGCAATCTTTCCTTGGGCTCTGCAAATATGAGGAGTGGGCCTATGTTTATATATATATAATTTTTTCTTGACATAGACCAAAGAATATTTGTCTGACTTCATGGACCTCAAAATGGCAGGTGAAATTTAAATGCTCCAAGATGACTTGAACCTGCTCCCACGTGTGATGACTGACCAACAGCAGGCCAGAGCTGATATCTGTGGGTAACACTTGTCCATGCATGTTTAGAAAGTGGTTTCTAATCTCTGAAGTCAGTCTCTTCAGGGGTAGTTTTACAGGTGCCAATGTTCAATGTTCACATGGTCAGAGGGAGTCCAGGAGGGATCCTGCAGCTAACATTGGCAAGTTGGTCTCAAATGTCCAGTCCCAGAACTTGAAAAGAATATATAATTTATTCTTGATAACCATTTATCATGGTTAAAGAAATGGCCCTTTTAAATGCCACAAAACAAACAAACAAAAAAACATCCCCCAGGTAGAATTAGTGGTATGGTAATCATGCTGTTCTGCAAATGCACTTTCAAAGTTTGGTGGATTGCAAAGCTTTTGGGGATGCCTCAGCTCTCAGGTGTGGTGAGCGTAGTTTCTCAGGTGACAAGTCTTAGTGATAGTAGTTTACTGCAATCCAGTGAAGGAGAGGAAGTTTTGGAGAGAATGTATGCTATGAAACACAATATAGAATTCAGAGCATGTATTCACGATGGCTGGTAAGACATCTGTTTAGGATCAGTGAGAACAGTGTTTCCTCAGTGTGCTTAGTATTACGTAAAAGGTGACTCACCTATCTTGAAACGACCCATGTAGTAGATCTGGGTGCTGAGGGCCAGAGAGGCCAGTATATGGATCGCAGAGAAGATGACCCAGAACCAGACGTCATTTTTTCCAAACACCTAGAAGAAAAGATGGAAGTTGCCTTCATCTGCGGTTTTCCCCAGAGAACTTCTAAGATCAGCTCCCTCTCAAATCGGCATAAGGAGTCAAAAACCAAGCTGTGCATGACTTTGTCCCCCTCGCCTCCCTGCCACACTCCACCTCATCCCCTTCACTGACCTCACAGGGGTCTTACTACACCCAGGGCAGGAAACAGAATGGCTACCTGGCCAAATAAAAATGGAAAGGGGAGAGGCAGCTGAACAGCAGTGGTGAAGGGGTGAGAAGTTTAAAGTTGAGGACTACTGCTCTTCAAATAGCTGCAGACAGGTAACACTTGTCCATGCATGTTTAGAAAGTGGTTTATAATCTCTGAAGTCAGTCTCTCCAGTCTTGTACATCCCTACTTCAGTCTCACGCGAATGAAGTCCCAGCTTTAGATTAAAACTCTTCAGGGGTAGTTTTACAGGTGCCAATCACATTATAAAAAATAACTAGCCGAATAAGTAAATAAAATGCCACGAATGGATCAACGATGAGAGTGTCATGAACCAAGGATTATGATTAATTCAATTCTGTTCACCTGAGCTCCCCCAAACAAACAAACAACAAAAAACCTTCCAAGAGGGTTCGTTCTGAAAGGGAGGCTGAAGTTATGGGGAGGGACGCACCACTCCGAGCACCGTGAGTGTGATGACCAAGGCGAAGGAGGCGTAGGCGGCATAGGCGCTGGCGTTGATGTCTGGGTGGCGGGTCTGGTAGAGCTTCAACATGCAGAGGCCAGCGATCATGTACATGAAGGAGGTGTCTGCAGGTGCAGAGGAGGAGCAGAGGCCATCAGGATCCAGTAGGCAACAGACAGATTTCTCCTCAGCTTCGGAAAACCCCCTCCCTTCAGCCCTTGGGGTATCCATTGCCCTTAGACTGTGTGGAGACCTCCAATATGCCTGCCTTGCAAGCATGTTCTCTAGGCAACCCCTACATACTCCACTTCTGAATCCCTCCAAAGAAAGCTGTTCTTAGTTCACAGAAGAAACTTACCTGATGATATGACAAATAATTGACTATTCCCACTCGCAGGGGTGTTTGTGTTTAAACGCTGGTGTTCGACAACAATAACAGAAAAAGCCCTAGTGGTGACAATTAAGGCAGTGTGACAAGAAAATGAATCTTAGGTGAGTGTAGGAGGCCCTTCTCAGCATCCAGAAACATAACCACACTGATGGCTGCTCCTGCATAGCTTTATAGGCTAGGGATTTCCCATCAGCTAGAAATTATATGTGGCTTAGCTGCATGAGAGTTATGGAAATGCAAGTGAAAACAACAATACAATATTCCATGTTACTAAACAATCTAATAAGGATTTAAATACCTGACAATAACACACGCCAGTGATGATATGGGAAATGGGAACTCTCCCACAGCTAGCAGGAGTGGGAATTAATGCTCTGGAGAGAAACCTGTCAGCTTTTGGTAAAATGGAAGATGCCCATCTTCCATTGCAGGTGACCCCTAAATACTACTTTTAGGTACCCCAGAGAACCTCTTTCACATATACACAGAGCTGAACAGAAGGATGTTCATTGCAGCACTATCTGTAACAGCAAAATGTTGGTAACATCTGAAGGTTGTTCAATGGAGGAATTGATAAATGTGGTATATTTTTAGTACAGAATATGACAATCCTTAAAAAAAATGAATGAACTAGCTGTCCTTGATTCAATATTGATAAATCTTGAAAACATATTATTGGATGAAATAAGAAGGTTACAGAACAGAGTGTAGTAAATTAATATCAATTTACTACAAATGTAGTAAAACTATAAAAACAAACTGGAAGAATAAATACCAAATTAATCATGGTTGTTGCCTCTGGGGAAGGAAAGAGGGCAATAAATTTGGAAAGTAGTTCAAACAAGAACTTTACACAATATTTTATTTCTTAAAAAGTAGATTTAAGTCAAATATTTTTAAATATTGGCATTTGTTCATTCTGAGTGGTGAATGATATTGTTTTCTATAGTTTTCCCTCTTAAAAATGTTTTCTAATTTTAAAAAATTAAAATGTGACCGAGAGCCCTGGCCAGTTGCTCAGTGGTTAGAGCTTTGGACCTTGGACTGAAAGATCCGGGTTGGATTCCTGGTCAAGGGCATGTACCTGTGTTGCAGGCCCGATCCTGGCCTGAGTTGGGGCGTGTGCAGGAAGCAACCAATTGATGTGTCTCTCTCACATCAATGTTTCTCTTCCTTTCTCTCTCCCCGCTCCCTTCCACTCCCTCTAAAAATCATTGGGAAGGATATCCTTGGGTGAGGATTAAGCAAAAATAAATAAATAAAATAAAATAAGACAGAGAATTTCTGTGGTGTCCTAAGTTAATAGCCAGAGGCTAGAGCACAAACATAAAAATGACTGTTTTAAAAACCTTTCTTCTTGAGTACAGAGGACATTGTTAATTGCCTACCACCAGCATCAGCTCTTCCCTCCTGCTTCCTGACAGCAGCTCAGTGCTAACTCAGACTTCTTAGCCTTGCTTTCAATTCAGAAATGCATATCTGTCAAGCCAATTTGCTTTAAGAAGGCTAACCCCATCCCTGGTTCCAGGGATAGGTCCCATTGATCTAAAGGTAATCTCACCTTCTTTGCCACTGTGATTAGTGTAGCAACCCAAGTCTGAGCTAACTAGCACATAGGGAATGATTCTGGAATGAGCTCATGACTGTTTAAGCTATTGAGCTGTGGGGGAATGTTATCTGGGGGGCTTTTAGAAAAGAAGTTTCCATGCTCTTAAATGAAGGCTCCTTAAGCTGTGTCCTCCAAACATTGTGGTGTGGAGACAGGAAGCCAGAATCAGCTGTAACTATATATGCCATCCTAAGTTCCCTGACAGCCTGAGAATAAAAGCAACAGGTGAGAAGTGGAACCATAGCTACTAGCCCTTTCCGCCTCTGGAGTTTCAGGTGGTGAGCTGAGCTGATAAATGTCCTTATTATTTCATTCGATTTTAATTGGTTTTTCTATTACATCCATCCCAAAGCAATCTAACTGCTAAATTAGGCCAAGTTACACTAAAGGACCTTTCTAGACACTAGTTGGTGAGTTCTACCTGACTTGCTGCCTAATGATTAGCCCACAGCTCACCTGCAGATATGGCCATGAGATCAACATTCAGTCTTAGGAATTTTCTAGTCTAAAACATGATCAGAGAGAAAATGTGTAGAAACCATGCCCTGTAGTAAGTTGCCCTCGGGCTTTAGCTCGTGTGAAATGGTGTTTAATTCTTGCAGGTATGACTTTGGCATTTTTGGGAAGGTCCCAGGATAAGACTCCTATAACTCAAATCCATGTAGTTGATGTAAATTCTAATTACCAAATTGGAAGTTGGAGTAATTAGGGCAGATGTGGTAACAAGCACTGAGCACTCCTTCCATCATCAATGCGATGCCCATAGCATAGAAGAGACCGAAGTGTTTGGGAATCCCATACTCCTGGAAAAGGAGAAAGCGTGGTCAACAGAAAGATACCAGTGAGTGACATAGCACAGAATCTGAAAGCCCAAGCCTGGCCTCAAGCATCGTAAACCATCATCACCACCCATAAGATGTTCTTCCCCTTTGTAGATCCGGTTTGGAATCATAACCCTTGTAGTTCCCACTTGTGATTCACCCACCCTCTGCTCACCTTGGCAAAGATGTCCTTGGCATCCAGGGCTCTTCGATGGAGAATGTCCCGGCGCAAGACTATCAGCAGGAAGAGGAAGCCCAGGAGCACGTGCCCCAGGTTACTGAGAATGTTATTGAAGGCACTAAAGGGATGAGAGAGAAACCATGAGAGAGTCAGGCAGTCAGAGAGATATAGAGAATGAATGCACGAATTAGCGAGGGAACTCAGCATTCGCGTTTTCCACCACTAACCTTTTCATAAGATTCCAGGATTGGAAAATCATCAGAGATCATCTTTAACCTTTCATTTTAGGATGCCAGGCCTGTAAAATGTGGCTGCTTGCTCTCAGGGGTGCCCACTATGCTTCCCTATTTTTTTAAAATATATTTTTATTGATTTCAGAAAGGGAAAGGGAAAGAGATAGAAACATCATCGATGAGAGAGATCATGAATTGGCTGCCTACTGCACGCTCCCCCGGTGGGGATCGAGCCTGCGACCCAGGCATGTACCCTTGACTGGCATCGAACCTGGGACCCTTTGGTCTGCAAGCCAATGCTCTATCCACTGAGCCAAATCCAGCTAGGACTATGCTTCCCTATTATGCTTCCAATTCTCTCTGGTCCCATGGGCACTGGCATGGAATGAATCCTGGGAAAGAGAGATGCTCCAAAGATGGGCAGTTTGGGCAAGTGTTTCAGCTACAGTGTGAGAGGGAATTCTCATAGATGGATCCGTGTTGTGTCAACACTCAGCTCTGAAGGTATGAATATCAGGATGTTAGCTGGTCACAACCAGTGGCTTTAATTCAGAAAACCTGTTCTAGAAGCCAGGCTCCCAACTCCCAGGCTAATGCTCTTTCCACTTCTGGAGGCTGCAGCATGGTCTTAGGGGCAGCAAGTGTGGTTCAAGTTCCTACATCACTGACAGCTGAGGGACCTTCAGCAAGTCCTTACCTTTCTAAGCGCTAGCATCTTCATCTAAAAAGGAGGATGGCGACAGTAACACTGTCTACCTCATGAGGTTGTTTAACGGATTGAATGTACTTGCAGCTCATGCCCGTGGAAAAGTGTCATCACAACCTGGGACCTGATGTTTTCAAAAACATCCCTGCCCTCGCCTCAGCAGATTATTTTTAGGAACATTTCCTGACGCCTCATACAGGAATGCGAGAAGCATGTCTGGCCTCAACTTCTTGATTTAAATTCCTCTTTATCCATGACTGGGGTAGTTTTCCACAGGTGTTTTTAGTATTTTTTAAAAACTGAGATCGCAACATTACATAGGAAGGCCTTTCTAAAAGCCTCATGGGCAACCGGTGGGGTGGGCTTACCTCAGGACGCCAAAGGGTGAGCACAGAGGAAGTTGTAGTAACAGATGTCCTGGTTTCCAGTGACATTTACCACCTGCAAAATCAAGAGCGAGAAGCGGAGATGCAGTTTTTCTCGGTCCCCTGAGCCAAGCCTGAAATCACAAAGAGCAGCACTGCTCACAGTGATAGACTGTCCGGGACTCACAGTGCAACCAGCACTCCTTCTCCTCAGGCTGGGTCACTATCTGCCACCTCCCCTCAGCACAGGCACATTTCCTTTAGATGCTACCATCTTGCTTTGAAGTGAAATGTTCTGTCTTCCTCATTACACGGCCTCAAGGTGGAATTCAACTGAGTTTGTTTCCTTTGTTCTCATGATAAAAGGAGTATCAAAGGATGCTAACATTGGGACATGCCTATTAGGACTGCCATGATATGTCCTATTTTCTAGGTGAATGCTGGGAGAACAATGAAGCTGTCCCATCCTCTGAAAATAACCACAGTGCAGGTAGACACAAGGATATGGTGTTCAGTTTTCCATATTTATCACCGTCTCTATCATCAAGAATCTTCCCAGACCACAGTATAGATATGTCTTCTGACAGGGCCCCAAAGTATTCAGAGAATATTTAGTTTATAAATTGTGGCATTCAGACCTCATAAAGTACTTGTTCTCATAATGCAGTACAAGCAGTAAATATGAAATTGGCTAAATATTATTAGAACTTTGGTTCTCAAAGTTGGCTGTACACTGGAATCACCGGGCATTTAATAAATACTGATGGCTAGTTCCACTCTAAGAGACTGTCATCCAATTGCTATGGGGTACAGCTTGGACACCGGGATTTTTAAAAGTTCCCCAGATGTTCTTAATGCACAGCAAAGTTTGAGAACCACTTCACTGGAAACACCTTCAGCTTCGTGCTAATCTAAATGGACTTTCTCACAGAGAATAAATCCTAGGGAAGGTCACTCAAGTGACCTGGACTCTTGGATTCTATGAAGGAGTTTTAGGGATTCTTAAACTATTTTAATTATTATTTATGTTTGTTTATTTTTTATTTTGTTTTCTTTTTATTTTAGTATTTTTTAAGTTTTATGAAGCTAGTTTTACTTTTACAAAAAAATATTTCCCCTTAGTGAGAGGGCACAGGCTAAATGAGACATCAGGCATCTTTGTTTTGATCTGGAAACTTATTTACTCATTATCCCATGATGGTCAAAAGTTCAGACTGGTAAATCATAGGCACAATTGATAGATACTATGACTGAATGAGTGCAAGGTAATAATTTCGAATTGGTAGACAAAACAATACAAGTGGTCCCAAGCCTCTCTCTGATAAAATAATTGGGAATTATAAATCAAAGATGAAGCATTGGAGAAGTCCAATTAGAACCCAAATGGGAAATTAATTTTTGGACCAATCCCAAGTTATACCTTTCTCTGTACATCACAGCAAAGCTCTCTCCCTGCAGTATGAGAACTTGGGTTCTGGGGTTCAGGGCAGCACTTACTGTCTGGTAGGTGATGACCAGCTGGATCACAGGTAGTGCATAGAACACAGCGATAGTGATGATATTCCTATGCAGGCGGAAAGAACCGGAAATAGCTATTTCCAAATTAACAATGAAATCTTCATTCAAGTTTTTAAAAAAAGAATGCTTTCACCCCATAACTCCTTAGTCAACTCACAAAAGCAATTAGAGACTGATAATGTGGTTCTTGTTTCTCCAGTCGGTTGTAAAGCAGTGTAAATAATACTTGCTTCTGTTTTAACCAAATTACTAATGAGAATCTATCGCTTAAGGATGTTGTTAGAGGAAACATGGTCAGAATGCAAGTCATGGGAGATGGATCACACAAAGGAATGTGGCTCTCTTAGATTCCTCTTAGTTCCAAAATGAAGGTTCCACTGTGAAATTCCACGTGACCCCCACTGTCCCTTGTTTTCCTCTAATGTCTGAATCCAATTAAAGGGGAAAATAATTGGGAAGAGAAAGGAATCAGAAGATCCGTCAGTGTCAGCCTGGGATTTTGAGGGGAGGGAGGGGCCCTTGACAGGCAGCTCAGCCTCTCAACTCGAAGGGAGGTGGCATCAGTGTGTTTGATTATCCTGGGGTAGTTTCTAGCTACCCTTAGATGCTCTAGGCATCTAATCCCTGAAATTTCTGGTTCGTCCAAGAGCAAGGCCTGGTGAGGAGAAGAGGAGATGGCCACAGATTAGCATGTCTCATGCAAGGTAGTGACATTAATGTTATTGTTGCATTAGCCTCCTGGAAGAGTGGTGTGCTCCCTGCACATATGGGAGTCTACTACCATTCTTACTTTTTCCTTTGTATTTATTTAATTTAGGGCTTGTTGCCTTTTATAATTTATTTTTCCTATGGAATGTGGCATGGATTCTTGAAACACCTATATCTATGCCTCATTAAACATTAAAACCTGTAATATAAGTGACTGTACCATATACAAAAGAACTTTAAATTTTGATAAAGATAACTATGGCCCTCTTGGTCATCTACTCACCAAAAATAAATCTTATATTTTTTGCTGATGATTCTCCGGTCCTTCCTGGACAGATCTGACAGGTAAAGGAACATCTGGGAAGCCAAATAAAAAGAGAATGCAAAACTGTACTTGCTTTTTTTTCCCCCCATAAGATACAAAGGAGAGCTTTACAAATTTCAGTTCAATCCCTTACTAGGTAATTACATTTATTTAACAAGATTTTTCTTTTAATCTTGCTTATCCCAGAATACCATAATAAAAATCTTAGTATTTCTTCTTGGACTATTAAGGATCCAGCAGCTCTACACGGCTTGTGGATCAAGTATTTGTACACGGAAATCCCCCACATGCCACATCTAGGATTACATAATGTAAAACTAGTGGGAATCGAATTCTTCTTATATCTCAAGAATTGATTTCCCAGTTTTCAAAGAGGTCCACAGTGTGGTTCTTGAATTGTAGGACTGAAACTGTGCAATTCACCTTCATACACCTTCCCGGATAAACACAATATAGTAAGTATACACCAGAAAGAAGCACACTTTACTCCTAAAGGATGATACGCACAGAACCAGAAAGTCTTTCCCAGCTACACCCTTCAGTGAATCTGTTCTTCCTTCTGGTTGGATCCCTCTCTCCTTTATTGTCCACAAGCTGTCACTTCAGACCCTGAGGGTGATCTGATGCTCTATTCTCTTTAATGTTCTCATTTTCTTCCTCCAGACAGAAGTGCTAATTAGAGGATTGCTTCTAGTCTATAGCTATAGTTTACCTAAAAAGCCCTTTGGGAAATATGACGTTCGCCTGAAGGAAAACAAATAAGGACACAAAGGCATTGCTGAAGTTGTAATCAACTGCCCTTCAGAGAGGACAGCCAGGCAGAGGTACCTTGGTCCGGATGACGTTCTTATCGCTCTCAATGTCTGGCATGGTGTCGAAGTCACTCTCCTCCACGGAGCTGTCCGAGTCTGACTGGTACGGCTGCCCCCCATCAGAGGAGGACATCTGCCTGACGGGACTGGAGCTCGACTCATCTGAAACAGAGAACGCTCATCTGCCTTCCAAAGTCCAGAAGAAGCCAGGTTGCCCATTCTTCTCTGCGAAAAGCACAGTGCTGACTCATTCTAGTAAAAACTAACACCTTACCCACAACACATGGCCTTTCTCTCAATTCCTCCTCAACGAACTTTTAATGTTCCTCTTCTATTTTTAAGAATATAAAGACATCTGCTCTGTGAATGATTGGACGCAAAGATAATATGCTATAGTTCCTGTTTCATATTTAAAATATGAACATAAATATATAAATATATGCATGCACATAGTTATGTATAGCATCTACCACATGTACTTGTCAGCACACCCATATCCAGCAGCTCTACACGGCTTGTGGATCAAGTATTTGTACACCGAAATCCCCCACATGCCACATCTAGGATTACATAATGTAAACAACATTCTCAGGAAGAGGAATCCTTGTGTTCCCGTGAACACTTCCCAGAGCAGATGGGAATTTGTGCAGCTTGATGAACACATGTGCCGAGCTTACTTCTGCTTTATTTCTTCTGTTCAGATGGCTAAACAATAAAAAAAGCTCCTGTTCTGGCAGAGCCAGAAATAAGTCGCCTGCACTGAGCCCACATGCTTCTCAAAGTTACAGAACAATAGGGCAGGGATACAGGATCCCAGGCCCTCTACACTGACATTTGAGGTGCAGCATTCATTGGCCAACCAGCGTCATGGAAGTGCATGGAAGCGTCAAAGCACTCCTACTCCAAAAGACAGGGCTGGGGATTCTGTTTCCTTCAGGCCACTTAATGAACTCTGGGGGTTGCCAGGTGCATGACTGGGTGTCAGTGAGCAGGTTCGATTATGAAGTTAGCCCAAAGGAAAGACTGGGGGGCTTCAGCCATGGTCACCTGCAGCTCAGCCTTAGTCTTCTGACCACCCTTACTCCCCTGAAACCTGAGAATGAAACAGCTGGTCAGGTGAGGTCGGGGTGCCTGACATCAGACTCTGACACATCTTTCAAGTCCTTGACGGGCTGGGTATGAAAAAACCTCCATGGGAGCCTTGGGATGTTGATGGCAAACCATTATAGGGAATTCTGCTCAAGTGTTGCTAGCAGATCCAAGAAACAATCATAGAACCGGAGAAAGTTAGAACTGGAAGGAATCTTCCAGATCATCCAACCAATTCATCTTACAAAGACCATACAGTCTTACTAGTATGTGATGACTGCCTTGCCCGCTCTCACAGTCATTAGTGGCTGGAGAATTAGGAAGCACTTCCATGAATAGACTCGTAGGAAATACCTATTGCCCCATAGTTGCTCCCTTCGGGGGTGCTGGCAGCAATGGGATGTGACACCGCCAGAGTTCCAGAGCCTGTTAAAAAGCAAAGCGAAGAGGGACACACTTTATGTCCAGTTGCTAAAACAAAGGAACACAACACACTTCTATGTAGTTTGAATGATCAGCACACAATATTTTAAATTCGATATTCTTTTCATTCTAATACAGGAGTCACCAAACTGTGGCCTACAGGCCAAATCTAGCCTGCCACCTGTTTTTCTATGGCCCTTGAACTAAGAATGACTTTTAAATGTTTAAATGATTGGAGGGAAAAATCAAAAGGAAAAGAATATGTCATGACAGGTAAAAATTCTAGGAAATTGAAATTCAGTATTCATATATAAAGTTGAATTGAGAGATAGTCACACTCATTTGGGTATGTCTATGCCTGGCTTTAGCTACAATGAGCAGGTTTGACAGAGGCTATATGACTGGCAAAGCTTAACATATTTACTGTCAGGTACTTTAGAGAAAAGCTGCTGATTCTCGCTGGACAGTATTGCAGAATCACAAGAACAAAGGAGCATGGGTGCTGAATCCCTGTGAGCAAGGCCACCACTGAACAAAACCGTCAGAAATAAACGCCTGTGATTAAGGCACTGTAATTTGGAGGTTTACTTGTTACAGCAGTTAGCAGAACCCTCACAACAGGCTGAAAAAGCCCAGATGGGAAAGGAAATCTCTGCACCCCTTGGAGCAATAAATAATAGCAACATGAGCTAAAGATGTGAATGAACATTGGTTATTTTGAGGGATATTGAGGAGATAGAATAGGAGTATCTATTGCCAAGTGGTTGTTGTCAGTGAGAGAAAAAGACTCTAAAAAATACATCCGAGCAGGTATCTAGGCAGTTTCTGACTCTGACTTAGTGCCGCCACGTTTCCGGGCGCCACACTCATCTGTGGAGACGCACGGGATTCTTCACCATCTCCTGAGCTTTGCCAAGGATCTGGGGTATTGTCAGGCTGGTGGGGATTCCTTACTGAAATCTGCTTTCTGAGAGATGCGATTGCTTCTGTCGCAATACAGACCAAAAAAAAAAAATCTGTAACTTGCCAGTCTCTTGTACTATTGCAGGGAAATATCTTTTCAGTGAAGCCATAACTGAGAATATTCTTTCATATCCTCACTGCAAATATATTTCTATTTCTTCATTGAAAACATGGATCTTTATCGTTTACATTAATGCTGGAGTGTAACACAAGTAAAAGGACCCAAAGCCTCAAACAACTCATCGTTTGTCACAGTTGGCTCTCTTCATTCAGCTCTCAAACTACACTCCCACTAGTGGCAGTAAAATCATCCAGTTGTGCAAGCCAACTTTATAGTCTTTCCACATTTTTTTTTTACTCCTTGTGTGTCCATTCATTTCCTCCATGAAAAAAAAAAATAAATCTCAAGTCCAAAATATTTAGCCAGACGATGAGAGACACCTGATGGCCTTGGAGACTCAATTGCCTTCCTCACTTTGATGGCTCAGCAGCTGGACAGCAACACCGTGGAGCTAATGGCAGCATTCCTGGCTGTTCCCAGGGCCCTCAGAATGCAGACTCCCTGGCATTGTTCCTAGGCTTGGAGATCCCTTGATATATTTCTTATTATTTAAAGAAAGATGTTCCCTGGCCTTTCTTGGACTTACCCATAATTGCATGGTATCAACACCATCTCTACTTTCCAGCCAATTTCCAGGCATAGAAACAGGTTACTTTCAGACTCTTAATGAGAGATTAAATCTTTTGAGCACACAACAGTGTTATGGGAAGATGGTGACTGCAAATTGACTTTTTTTTTTTTTTTTTTTTTTTTTTACCTAGGACAGATTTGGCCATAGTTACAGCACAGAGCTCTGCTGCTGCTACTATTGACTATAATTAGTACTATAACAAGTACTAACACTGTTACCATCACCACTCCTACTATTACTAATGCTTCTGTTACTGCTGCTGTGGCTGCTGCTGCTACGATCACTACTACTGGCCAATGGTTATTGAAAGCTTACTTTGCGTCAGACACTCTTTTGAGCTCTTTACAAGAATTTTAATTTTTCAACAACCCTATGAAGTGGGTGCTATTGTTATCACCATTTTAAAGACAACAAAAGGGGAGTTGCTGAGAGATCAAGTAATTTGCCCAGAGTCACTCTGATATTGGGTGGATATTGGTTTATTATATTGGTCTCAGCTAAAATTTTTCTTAATTGAAAGAAACACAAGGGTTTTCCTTCAAAATATGAATAACTGGCAGTAAGCAAGTTGCTTTGGTGGAGTGCTCCAGAGTATCTTTCAAAAGAGACAAACAGGTTGAGGCTCATGCGCATCTCCACTACCATAAGCACAATCTTTGCTCTTTAGATTGGCTGCTGTGCTGGCCAATGATTCCTTACTGGGCCATGCTCCTGCCTTCTTTCTGTCTAGTTCATTGTGGGAAGTCTCACAAAAATCACTGCATTGATCGTATCCCTCGGTGCTATATTCAGTCTTTTCCATTTATATTTCCCTCAGTCCCTTTCACATTTTTTTTCAAGTGTAAGCCCCCTATTTTTAACCATTAACTGCTGTCCCTTATTTAAGATTTAATTTAAAAAATAAATGTGCAAATAGGAAGTGAAGAATGACACTAAAATAATAAAACCCAGGATTTTTGGCATTTTGGTGTTACTGAGAAGCCCTCTGAGGAGGTAAGCAGAAGTGCACATAGGAAAATGATGAGGTCAGTTTTGGCAGGAGGTTGTAATGGTTTGTGGGAGCCAATGGTTTTTGTGTGTGTGTGATCAAAAGAGAAAAAAAAACCCGCAAACAAAAACTAAAATCAAAGCAAGCGAGAAAGCAAAAACAACCACTGTTTTGTTAGGTGACAACTCCATTAAAAAGAAAAAGCCAGCTGTGTAGGTCTGTTCAGACTTGGACGTGTCACTGATTTCTGCACTCTGCTCTGCCTCATTCTGAGCCAACAGAAGGGGTTCTGTGACGATTAAGAACATCAAGATTTTCATGTGCAATATAATTGCCAGCACGTAAAATGTTTGAACTCTGTGGACTTTTATAGGTATAATTTAAATATATGATTGGTCAACATTGGATAATTTTTCTTATGTCTAAAACATGGGTTTCAGACATGAAATCCAAAGCATTTTCTTCCAAACTTCAAGTATGATCAATGGTCCTAGAAGGCAAGCCATTTTTACACTTATCTGTATGGTACTGAGAAAGCAGAGTTAAATACAAAAATATTAGCTCATTGGACAGACCAAGATGTTCTAGCTGGAAATAAGCAAACTTACAAGGTTGTGAATGAGCTAATCTAATTGAGGAAACTTGTTCTGCTGTGTTTTTCTCTGAGCACAACCCCCTTGCCATCTGTCTACTTTACTAACATAGAAAAAGATATGCTTTCATGCTTGCTCTTTATGTTAAATGCTCTGTGTGAAGGGAAAAAAATGTCATTTCATTCTGAGTATATTTGGAACTTTCAGGGACTTCATATTTATAACTGTCCTGCCTCTTTCCATTTCTGAATGCAGGAGGTGGGAAGCTGAAGAGGGAGTCGGAAATGATGTGAACTAGCTGCCATGAAATTCCATTTTTGTGTCAATTGGCTGCCTACCCCAACTAATTTCATGTTTTGTTTCAAAAGCTGAGGAGAAAATGAAGGAAACCATGAATCTTTGTAGAGGGATATAAAATTCCTCTCAAAGGAAAAACTGAGTAAGAAAAGTCAAGGAAATTTGGAAAAAGAAGAGTAGAGGGTCAGGACTAGCATTAGAGACCCATCGCCCCAGAGCCCGGTGATGCCTGTGCTCCTTGGTGTCTCCAGACTCAACACACTGCTTGTCTTACTCCCTCTGAACCCTGCTCTTTGCTGAGAGGCTGACTCAATAACGGCTCTATCCAGGGAAGGGTTCACTGGATTAGCCATATGGTTCTTAAATGTACAAACCTGACAGGTTTGTCAAGCTCCCTCACTTGAAAAAGTGACCTTGCCTTATGCTACACCCAGGTTCGTGGTGACAGCTCAGGTGCCCCACAGGCCTGTGAGGTATGCTTCATTCATCTCTCTTCCCACTTGGTGTCTGAATTTCTGTACAGACTCTTTAACAATGATGAGAAATATGGGTTTCTCTGCTGAGAGAGCCAGTGGAGGAAAGGTTTTTAGAGCACAGAGCTTTTTCTAGTACTCCTCAGATGACCCCAGAGAACCTTGCTTTAAGTCCTAAGTGATAAATGGAGAATACATTGTCCCTTCAAGGACGGAAGAAGCTCTTTACCAGCACTATTTCCACTTCATCTGGCTCTAGGGTCTCATTTCCTTTTTCATCCAATTCTATCTAATAAAGAGGGACTATGCCAATTGACCATCACGCCATCGCAAAGATGGTGGTGCCCACAGCCAATAAGGAGGGAATATGCTAATTGACTGCCATGCCCTCAAAGATGGCAGTGCCCACAGCCACAAGATGGCGGCACCCAGTCCCCTCAGCACCGCTGGGGTGGCAGGCGTGGCAAGGCGGGACCCACCCCCAGGAGGGCCCAGCCTTTCTGTGCACCTGCCTCTGGAGTCCCCTAGTCCCCTCAGTCCCTCAGCTGTCCAGGGCTGGCCCGAGGCATAGGCAAGCCTCGATGGCAGCCGCCCAGCCACCCAGGGTCGCCCAAGGCTCAGGTAACCAGGGTCGGCCGAGGCTTGTGCTGTTGGCAGTGGCAGCAACAGAGGTGTGATGGGGGCATCGCCTTCCCCTGATCACTGGGTCGCCTCCCACCCCTGAGGGCTCCCGGACTGTGAGAGGGGACAGGCTGGGCTGAGGGACCCCCCCCCCTCCAGTGCATGAATTTTCATGCCCTGGGCCTCTAGTGAAGTATAAAATAAGTTCTTCCTCTTTTTAGGATAGTTGGAGCCAATGTTGACATATTTCATATAAAACTTAAAGAACTGCAGACAAGTCAAAGAATAACAATTGCAGAGGAGTCGGCAGGTTCTCCAGATGCAGCCTTCCTGCCGTTACCTAACTAAAATAGTGCTGCCCCCAAGCCCCCAAGGCATTTCCTGGAGCTCTGAGCTCCACTGAACTTCCTGGAGCTCCACAGTCACACTAATCTTGGCCCTGGGGAGAGACAGACATTTCTGAATCCTGGTCCTCTACAAAGGTTCCTCCCTGAATGTCTCACTTCAGCTTCCAGATAAGGTCCCTCTCTGAGGCTGGCTTATCAATGCTCTGTTTGATATGCTTAAAAAAAGTCACTAACTGGTTTTTCTCCAAGGTAGATCTTGTCTTCTCTGCTCTTTTTTTTTTTTTTTTTAAATATATTTTATTGACTTTTTACAGAGAGGAAGGGAGAGGGATAGAGCGTTAGAAGCATGGATCAGCTGCCTCCTAAACACTCCCTACTGGGGATGTGCCTGCAACCAAGGTACATGCCCTTGACCAGAATTGAACCTGGGACCATTCAGTCCACAGGCCGATGCTCTATCCACTGAGCCAAACTGGTCAGGGCTCTGCTCTTGGTTTAAATCACCTAAGTCTCCTCTCACTAGTGGTCCTGTGACATGAGTTGTATTATCTTTGATCTTTCCCTGTAGCCTCTCTGCCACAAAGATTCTTTATTTCCACCCTATTTCAAAGCCCTTTGTGGTGAACTTTCTTATTCCACACTTCCTAACTAAGCTGGGATTTTGCTCAGGTATCCTCACCTGTGCCTGGCAGTCCATGTATTTAAGTCAGTGATTCTCAACCAGGGATGGAGAAAATGTTTTGCCCCCAATATGACATTTGGCAATGTCTGGAGACATTTGAGTTGTCACAGGGAGGAAGTGTACTGCTGCATTCTAGTAGGTAGAGGTGAAGGATGCGGTTAAATGTTGAATTTCCTGCAATACATAGGACAGCCCCCAACAACAAAGAACTATCTGGCCTGTAATGTCAATTAATGTTGAGTTTGAGAAACCCTGGTCTTAGCAAAAGATGATCTCATCCTAATTCTATAAGTAGGCTTAATGGATCTGTGGGTAAATATGTTCCTTTGCAGTGACTGGTTTACCAATAAGTGTACAATTCACCGTAGGCCAGTAAAGTGAGAATAAGTTGCTTCTGAAAACGTCCTTCCCTCTGGACATTGTCAAGTGAGGGTATAAATCTGATCCATCTCACCACCAGCACTGAGAGCAAAGGAGAGCCAAGGAAATGGCAGGGAAAGGACCAGAGCCACCTGACTCAGTCAGTCCTGAAGCCCAACTTTCTGCTCAACTTCCAGGGAGAAGAGCTTCATATGGTTTAGGCATGTTTGAGATATATTTTCTTGTTACTTGCAGCCACATGAAACCTAATTGATGCACCTTTATCCTTCCCTTCTCTTCCCTTCCCTTCCCTTCCCTTCCCTTCCCTTCCCTTACCTTCCCTTCCCTTCCCTTCCCTTCCCTTCCCTTTTCTTTCCTTTTCCTTTAGTCACTCATTAATTTCTGCTGCCATATGAAGGGCACCTCTAGCTCTTAGCTTATTTTCAGGGCCTTCTTGATTTTGACAATCATCTGGCCCAAGTCCCAGCTCTGTTCCCATATGTTTCACTGTTCAGGAGAGTCTTCTGAACATGGTGTTCCTTTAACTATCATTATAATAATAAAATGACTTCACTCATATGATAAAAATAACAAAGTATTCATTCACAGAGCACCGAATGGGATCCAACCAATCAGGCTTTCTAAGTTCAACCAGGCATAAAATAAGAGCAAAACCTGGGGAGCCCTGGCGAGAAAAAGGTGAAATCCAGAGAGAAGGCAAATTTACCTAAACACTTTACGAATAAAAGGGAAAGTAGTATTTAGCATTTTAATGACAGTAGAGCAGGTTTTCTTTCACAGTCTCTTATATTGGCTGTTGAATGTTATTTTAAAAAATTGCCTGGGTGGCTGGAAAAGTAGACCTGCTGACAGTAAGGAAGACAAAAGTCAAAGGAAGGCAGGAGAAGCAGAGGGGGGAAATTCCTGCTGGTTGTGTGTGGGGGAGGGGCTCAATTTGTGTCTTTCTAAGATTCCGTGGGTTCATTTAAGTGTTGAAAACACAAACTAAACATCTGCTGCTTGTGACTTAAAAATCAAGTCTCACTTATCATTCCTTTCCCAAATGATCACTCTTTGCCAAATGGCGTATGAGTACTGTGAAACTCATGCTGATTTAGGCTTTTCAAAAATGAGGACATGTACAAAAGTACAAACTTCCTGTTATAAAATAAGTAAGTCCTGAGATGTCATTAATGTACAGCATGGTGACTATCTTACCTAATAATAGACAAACATGTAAATTGACCATACCTTTGCTACGATAACCAGCCAATCAGGAGAGTATGCAAATAACCCAACAAAGATGGCGGTTAATTTGCATACATAGGCTCCAAGTGGCGGAGCAAAGCCTGACGGCCCCGGGGCCGGAGCAGTGAAGGCTGACGGTTCTGGGGCCAGCTCCAGCAGGAGCCCAGCCAGAGCGAAGGCCTGGGTCCCGGGTGCCAGAGGCAAACCGGTGTCAGCAGCCAAGGGAAGGGAAGGCCTATTGCACGAATCTCTTCATGCAACAGGCCTCTAGTAGTTAATAATCCTGTATTGTATATTTGAAAGTTTCTGAGAGAGTAGATCTTTAAAGTTCTCATCACAAGAAAAAAAATGTGCATGTGTGGTAATGAGTGCTAACTGAACTCATTGTGGTGATCCTTTTACACAACATACAAATACTGACTCATTATGTTGTATACCTGAAACTTATAAAGTGTCATATATCTCAATTTAAAAAATGAAGACATTTAATTTTTTAAAAGTTTTGATAAAAAGTATCGGGCAATTGAAATCCTTTGTTCAAATTCTTGGAGTAGAGGAAAGGGCATATTACAATGGTTGGATAATCAATTACTCTGGATTTCTCAGAGTTATTATTCTTATGATATTTGCTAGTCTCAAATATTTCAGTTTTCTAGTTACTTGAACAAAAGAAACCAAACACCTCTATCTCAATTTGGGAAAATTAAACTCTGAATTAGAGTTAACAATACATTTTTAATATTGTTCATAAATCAACTTGGGGATAGGTATAAACAATTTATATCCTCAAAAAGATTTTACTTTTAAAAAGGATGAATGGCTGACAAATGGACTTGTGGATAATTACAAGGGACACTCCAAGCAAAAGTTTTCAGTATGAGTTCCATATCTCAGTAATTATTGGTTCTCACTGAGCTCCATTTTCTGTAGAAAGGCTGTAGATTAGACTATTTTGTGGGTTAGGAACCAAGGGAGGAATTGGAAATTACAAAGGGCATAGAGACAAAAGAAGTACCAAATGGGAGTGTTACCATACACATGACATCAATTTGATTTGAAACCAGGGATTTTTCTTACCATCATTGGAACCAAAGCTTCCATCAATGGATTTTCTCTGAAACCTGCAAAAAAAGCACATGCACATGCCCCTAAGGCAGCGAAAACCTCAGCATTTTACCTGTGTCCTCTATAGACTTTATTGCAGATTTGTCTGCTAGAATCTCTTAAAAATGGGCCTTTGGATGTGGAGAACTTGGGACTCTGATACATTGCTAGTAGGATTGTAAAATGGTGTAGCCACTTAGGAAAAGTTTGGCAGTTCCTCAAAAAGTTAAACATAGAGTTACTATATAATCCAGCAGTTCTATCCCTAGAGGTGCGTGGGAGCACGCGTGTGCGCACACACACACACATTCATTAATTTATTTTCAGATTCGTTTATTTTCAGATAACTAACATACCATAAAATCCACACACCCTTTAATATACACAATTCAATGAGTTTTAGTATGTTCACAAAGTTGTGCAACTATCACTATTACCTAATTCGAGAACATTTTCATCATCCCCAGAAGAAATCTCAAATCTATTAGCAGTCATTCCCTATTCCCCTTCCTCCCAGCTCCTGCACCATTAATCTACTGTCTGTCTCTATAAATCTGCCTATTCTGGACATTTCTTATAAATGAAATATACTATATGTAGTCTTTCTTGACTGGCTTTTTTCACTTAATGTTTTCAAGGTTCATCTATATGACAGATGAATCAATACTTCAGTCATTTTATGGCTAATATTCCATTGTATGGATATATCACATTTATTGGTTTATACTTGGTGGACATTTTGGTTGTTTCAACTTTTTGACTCATGGCCCCTTCCTTTGTCTTTAGAGTGTATGACTCCAACCCCTGCTTCCATCATCACGTTTCCTCCTTCTGTCTTTGACCCTCTTGTCTCCCTTTTATTTATTTATTTATTTATTTATTATTTTTTTAAAAAATATATTTTATTGATTTTTTACAGAGAGGAAGGGAGAGGGATAGAGAGTTAGAAACATCGATGAGAGAGAAACATCGATCAGCTGCCTCCTACACACCTCCTACTGGGGATGTGCCGGCAACCAAGGTACATGCCCTTGACCGGAATCGAACCTGGGACCCTTCAGTCTGCAGGCCGACGCTCTATCCACTGAGCCAAACCGGTTAGGGCTTGTCTCCCTTTTATATAAGGACCCTTGTGATTACATTATACCCATATGGATAATCTGGGATAATCTCCATAATGTTATCACATCTGCAAAATGTCTTTTGTCCTGTAAAGTAACGTATTCACAGGTTCTGTATATTGGCATGTGGACATCTTTTGGGGGCCATTATTCTACCTACTATCCCATTTTAACAATATTAAGTCTTCCAACCCATGAACATGGGACATCTTTCCATTTATTTAAGTCCTCTTTAATTTCTTTCAAGGATGTTTTGTAGTTTTAATTAATTAAAGTGTTAAGTATTTTATTATTTCAATGCTATTGTAAATGGAATTATTTTCTTAATTTCATGTTCGAATTGTAAATTGCTAGCGTATAGAAATCCAATTGATTTTTGTACACTGATCTTGTATCTTGTAATCTCAGTAAACGCAGAGCTTCTTTTTGGAGGTGATGAAAATTAGATAGTGGTGGTGGTTGTGCAACTGTGAATACACTAAAAACCACTGAATTGTATACTGTAAAAGGGTGAACTTTATGTCCTGTGAATTATATCTCAATAGCTATTATATAAAACCTATGTATACCATTTGAGAATGTCTACCAAAAATTTAAATGTGAATTACCCTCTTCCCCAAAGTGAGCCTCCCTTTTGAATATGAGGCTGGAGTGGAGGAGGAGGAAGGTTGGGGCTAGATGCACCTGTACTTTGCTATATGCTCTTGTTTTCTTCCAGACGGGGACTCCAGAAGTGGCACACTCCTGATCCTGATAATTTGGTGGAGGAACTTCTCTTCATATCTCTTTTTTCTCTAGACACAGCAAATTCATCCCTGCCTTGGGGTTTTTGCTCTTGTTCTCTGCCTGGGCCACTCTCTCCCCAGATCCTCACATCGCTGGCTCCTTTCTGCTATTCAGTCTTGGTTCTGAGAGGTCTTTCTTGCTGAATTAATTAAATCTAAAGTAGCTTCCCCAATACAATCATTCTCTATCACTCCAGAATCTTTATTCTTCTCTCTCTAGCTGAAATTATTTTTATTAACTGCTTCCTTGCTTATATGTTTTTCTCTGTACCATGTAAGTTCTATTAGAGCAAGACTCTAGCTTGTCTTGTTCATCACTCTATCTTTCACCTCTAGGACAGGCCCTGCCACATAGGAAATGATAACTAAATATTTGTTGAATGAAAAAGGCATATCATTAAGGAGAGCAGTTACAATTTTGGCCTAACTGTTTAGCTGGCAAATAAGGCTCTATTGAAGTCCCCTTTAAAAACAATTTTAGTGATATTAACTGGCAAACAATTATGTATTTGGCCTCATTAAAGATGATGTGTTTGGATTGTGTGTTTGTATTAACAGGCTTTACCCACACTTGTCCTAGCTTTTGGAGCTGATAAAATTTTTCATTAGAGGAGTTCAATGATTTACAAAGCCTGAGTGAGGCAGGCAGTATCCAGTGAGAAAAGGCAAAAACAGTAAATGAGAACTATGCTAGACATTGAAAATGGCTACACCTCATCTTGTATCCAGCTCCTTCAATCAAAAGTGGAGTCCGTATCTTCACTTCTTAAATCTGGACTGGCCTCATGACTTGTTTTGACCCACAGAATGAGGTGGAAGTAATACCATTTCTCAGCCTCGTCTTAAGGAGGCCTCACACTCTTCCGTTATCTCTCCTGGAGATACAATAAGCCAGGGCTAGTCTGCGGGAGCGTGGGAGGCCCAGCACTGCTGAGGGAGTCCAGAAGAGCCAGCTCCTAGACGGCCTGCCAGCTGGTTGCATTCTATGACCACATCCAGCTGAGATCCCAACCCAGTCCAGCTGACCCACAGATTTTGAGTAAACTTAAATATTTATTGATGTATGCCACTGAAGTTTTTATGGTTGATTTTTATGCAGCGTTATTGTGGCAATAGATAACTAATACAAGTATCCAGAGAAGGATGAGCACCCAGAATTGAGCAGTTTGAATTCAATGTCTGGCAGGGTGGTTGAGAGGAACATACAAGAGAATAGGTATGCAGTGCTTGGGCCAGGACCTGCACATTCATTGTGGGGGCTCCAAAAATACTGATTAGATTGGGTCTGGAGAAAGGGAGGAAAATGGTATTTAGTCATGTGTTCAAGAGAATATAGCATAAAAACACTTTGAGGGCAGGGGACATATCTCTAACCCAGTGGTTCTCAACCTGTGGGTCGCGACCCCATTGGGGGTCGAACGACCCTTTCACAGGGGTCGCCTAAGACCATCAGAAAACACATATATAATTACATATTGTTTTTGTGATTAATCACTATGCTTTAATTATGTTCAATTTGTAACAATGAAATTGGGGGTCACCACAACATGAGGAACTATATTAAAGGGTCACGGCATTAGGAAGGTTGAGAACCACTGGTATATATCAATATTTTGTGTGTGTGTGTGTGTGTGTGTGTGTGTGTGTGTGTGTGTGTGTGAAGCATACAGTGGAGACTGTCACCCAAAAGGCAGAAATCAACAGAATCTATGTCTAAAGGAAACAAACCTAAACAGACATTTGGAGGTGAAATTGGCCCAGACTTTATCTGCAGGCCCTACTCCCTGTGCTTTTCCCAATGATCTAAGTCAGATCCTGGGACACAGCTCCCTGCACCTCCCGCCTGGCGTAAACAGACTCTGTAACTGCTGCCTAAGAAGTGCCCCCACGTTTTTCTAGCTGTTTTAGAGTCATCCCCACAATAGACACGTCATCTGGGGAGCTGGGAGCCTGGATGTTTTGTATTGATCTGGGCTCTGCTTTCGACCCGACTTGGATGCTGGCTGCCACGCCAGTCTCCCAGCCAGCCCTGGAGATGGGCTGTTCAAACTTAAGTGATGACATGCACGTCTTCCCCCTTCACCGGCCAGAGAACACCCACAACCTGGAAGCTCTGAACTAAATACAGAATTTAAAACTATCCCTCCTGTCTTCATGCATGGGAGGGTGGAGGAGGGGAAGATGAGGATTAAGAGAAAGAACAGGAGAAAAGAAACTACACAATAGCATTACTTTGCTGACTTTGATGGACAGTGAAGAGGAAGCTGTTAGTTGGCACCGATGAGTCCTCTGCCAGCCCACAAATGCTTCGGTTGGTAGGTAGGCAGTATCTCATTTCTCTTTAAGTTGCATTTTTCCTGAAACTCTGCCAGGCGAGTTATGTGACATTGCACCGAGCAGGCGAGCATAATAATGGCTCAGAAATTAAAGCTCAAGGGGAGTCGGAAGAAAGAGGCAGTTCTTCTACGGAAACACATGAGAGGAAGACGGGAGGACGAGAGCATCTACTCAGCATCTGCCATGAGTTACATATTAGGTGAAGGTACGTTACC